GTAGGTAGAACTGTATGCATCTAAGGTTAATTTAAATTGGCTATGCTCAAGTATGTAGACAAGCTAATGTCGAAGTAGTGTATGTGAAATCAACCTCACAATAAGATGTGTGTATATTACAATTATTAATGTCATATTTCAAGATGATTACTTAGATATTACAATATGGTTGGTTGAGCTGGAGTTCATTATTGAGCTTACACGTTAACGTCACAGTCATCTGAAGAACGAACCCAAACCTTGTTGTTTTTATTAATTGCATTACCAAATGGGTATCAAATAAACAGTAAGCATTGGTAACACAACTTCCAAAGTTACAGTAAAATAAAAAGGACCCTGACTCAGACAATACACAATCCAACATGTTCAACAGAAGATAATCAGTTATATTGTTTGTACACATGGTACTTTACATATATATATATGTTTGTTTAAGGTGTCCAGGTGATGCAGACACGCTGGACCAGAGAGTGAGAGACAGAACTGGACTCCTCACAGCAGTGAACTTCAGCTCAGGTACAAATACTCTTTTTTCATACTGTACAAAGAATCAAGAAAGATATTGGTTTAAATGAATGAAGTATTGACTTGAATACACTGATATACATTCCATTAAACAATACTAAATACTAGATCACCTACACATCAGTTAAGTTGAGGGGTTTATCCATGCAAAAAGTTACATTTAGATGATAACAAGCAATATGACTTTGTCAGCTTTCTAATTTAATGTATTGAAGGCAAAGATATTTAACACATAGTGAGAACTGCTACTATTTATCTCTCAATATTGTCTGTAAAAAACGTGGTAAAAGTTATTCTTTCAGTGAGACAACAGAGCAAGCTTCTACAGTTGCACTACGTTTTGATAACAGTTCAATATTATTTTGATAATAACATATATTTCAATGTTGATGAACTTCATACTGTTCATTCATAATCTGATTGTCTTTGTAGCTCATTGTTGAAATAAAAATAAAAACATTACAATTACAAAATAATTATATCTACAGCCCCTAAACACACTGCTTTCATAAATAACACACTTGTTCTGCAATAATATGTTTTATGTTTCCTGTCATTTTTGTTAGGAAAGGACATGCCTGAAAGACACGACATTTTCTCCTTCTCTGAGGGTCAAGAAGAAAATCCAAGAGGAACATTAAAAGCTGATGTTATGAGATGTTAAGACCAGTAGGCTACAGGACATTCACTAAGAAACTACTTGTATTGTAAAAACAGTCAGCTGATCGAATGCAGCTATTTCCACATCTACACTCCATCAGCTGATTATTTCTATTTGCCTCACTTTATGAGCTTCACAACATGTACCTTGTTTTGTAACGTCACAAATAAATGGGGCCAATCTTCAGTCAGATGTGAATGTGTAATCTAACATTTTCAGTAAGAATAATGGACAAAAGGAGTGCAAATACAAATATAATTTATTGAAATGTGAACCAAAAGTTAATCAAATGTTTTAAATAAAAAGCACATATGGACAGAAGGTGTAAACCTATTAAATGTATTAAACACATTTAGTCAAATAAAGTGACAGACTAGGCCTGTGCAGTTGGTATCAGCTTTGCCCAGCATGGGCTCCTCCATCAGCCCTGGTCCTCCTCGCAGAGGAAAGACCCTCAGTCCTCTCCAAACCAACAGACAGGACGTCCATCACACGGAGGTTTCTCCCTGAAGTCTCTGCAGCTCTCTGGACACCATGCTGTCTCAATCCATCCACACTGAATATGAGATTGGGAAAATGAAAATAATAAATGCTTTAGACAATAAGAAACATAAAGTTGACTGTTGAGTTGCTCAGTTTTTTTAGATTGTCAATACTATTACTGTATAACTAATATCTCAGGTTAAGAGGCACATTCAAATAAAGATTGGTCTTTAAATACATTTTGTCTTTTGAATTGTTTGTCTAAAGTCAAGGATCTATAACTGGTACTTAGTTTTAATGATACAGTCTGGTTATTATGCTGTTTGGAGGAGGCCTCACAGGTAACAGCGCTAACTAGCTACCATCACATGTACCTTAGCTTGACTTAAATGTATTAAACGTATAGTTAAGTGACATCAAAATATAAATAACTAATGTCATGCAAACATATTAATATTTGCTTGATTCCAGTGTTGAATTTAGCACAATTGCATACAAACGTTAAGGGGTTTTAAGATTCTGAAGTTGTATGTTAAAACTCAATAACTTAGATTATTATTTATAGTTTTGCTAAATAGTTTCATGTCCGCTTACCTTAGAAACGTAAAATGCGACGGCAGCGTGCCGTGCAGATGGGGAGCATATTAGCTTAGCTTGGTAGCTTCAGCTAGCTCTGGAACTTCCAGCTCGGTGGCAGCAGGTCCCACCTCGGCTCCGCCTCTTTGCCCTTATTTGGAGCAGGCTGGAGAAGGTGGGAGTTGAACTCTGACGTCACTGTCGAGCCGTTAGTGGCCGACTCCGCCTACTAAGGGCTTCACGGCAACTCTGCAGAATCCTATGGGTGACGTCACGGACCCTACATCCATTTATATATACAGTCTATGCTTTAAACTCAATGACTTCTTGTCATCGCAGGGATACACAAGTTTTGAGAAATGTATCCTTTTCACTGTTGACTTCTCACACCTGGCATGTCTGCTGCAAGGGATCAACACCTGCTTTAGTTTGGAAACGTATTTCCTCTAGGGATTAGGAACTGTTCCTGTCCAGATTAGCACACTTCTCATCTAGGACGCAAGTGTGCCGACCGCTTTTCACTGCTTTGTCTCATGCAACAGATTCACTCTCATATCAATCTTTGCAGTTAAGACAATACTGGTTTGTACTCACCGAATTAAAATAATTTACCATCAGAAGCTAATTAGCTTATCCTGGCACAAAGACACAGGGTAGATTTGCTAATATAGAATGCTTATATAAGGACAGAGTTTTAAAATTGGCACACAATATTGTGAGTGACCTGAGGCACCCTCTTGCCTCTTACTTTGAACTGTTGCCATCCGGGCGGAGATATCGTGCCCCTTATTTAAAAAAGAACAGATCTAGGCTGTCTTTCGTCCCACAAGCCATCAAACTCCTGAATAAATGATGGCTAGGACGCACTGTTTACCCAGCTGGTCTGGCCCTGTCCCCCCTATTTCGCAAATGAGGGCCTATAGGCCCCTTGTCATGTCTGCCGATATCTGGTTTTCTTATGTCTGTTTGTTTTTATCTGTGTCTATGTTGTTGTCAGTGATGTATTGTCTTAACTTTTTAAATGCCTCTGTGATGTGCTGCAATCCATTTTCCCCTCGGGGACTAATAAGCGAATACTATACTATACTATAAGATAGTTTTAGATTGCTCTGTCTCAATGGTACAAAAAAAAAAAACAGGTCTCCAATTCAACCCGGGATATATCCTTGGTCCATATTCTCCACAATGGACGTTTTTATTGACTCGACGATGCTATCAACAAGACAAAATGGTAAGCTAAAAAGGAAACAATTTCCTTTCGATTTAGGGTAGTAAGGTTAACACACAAAAATACAACTTGATTATGGCTTAAGATAACTGCTTGGTTAAAGTTAGAGAAACATTGTTGGATACATTTGCAAACTGTGAGTGTTTTCAGTCTTAATGCTAATCTAAGCTAACAAGCTTCTGGCCGTACCTTCACTTTCACCTGACAAACATGAGCATGGTGTCAGTCCTCTTATCCAACACCAGGCAGGAAAGTCATTCAGCCTATTTCTGAAGTTGTCAAACTATTCCTTTTAAAGGAAATCTTGAATACAAAAAAAGAGAGTGAGTTTGACAAACGAACACAGATCTAATGTTGCAAATGATGAATAAAGTCACATCATTAGTAAATGTACATTATAAATGTTCGTGTTAGTTCTCAAATCTACTGTGTGCCCTCCACACATAACTACAGCCATTTGAATGCACGTTGGCCCCTTCAGCAAGGATAAATCAAACCCAAAGATGTCCATTATGTAATGCAGCATGTATCTGCAGGCAGGCTGCGGAGCAGAGAGATTGTTCTGGCTTAAAACTCACACCTCATATGACAGTTTTATCTAACTCTTTGTTCACATCCTAAGCTTCAGCAAGTGGTTTCAGACCTTGTGGAGGCTCCTTTTAGAGCAGGAGTGACACGATGAACATGGTACAATATTTCCACCAAAATCTATTAAGGTAACAATCTACTAATCGTTTCATCCCACAGGCCATAAGACTATTAAACACCTGAACTTTTTAAACAACATCCATAACATTCATCTGGCTGCTACTTAGAAACTATTTATCTAATATATCATATTCCAATAACTTGTTGCACTATTTCACTATTTTACTATTTTTCTTGCACTATTTTTTCTGCTTTTCTGTTTTATTGTATTGCACTGTTGGAGGAGCCTGAGACCTAAGATTTTCATCGTCATAACTACACTGTAGCTATGTTCGTATGACAAAATAAAAACCTTGAACGTACTTTATGTATGTTTTCTTCATTGTTTGCTCAATTTAAATAGATAAATACAATTGTTGTCTGTGTTTGCTTGAACTCTCCTTCAAAATGAATATACAAACATATGGATAAACACAGAATGGCCTTAGAAACTCATTATAGAATTGTTATGTATTGTTAACTTTGCTATAAAATCTTGCACTGTAAGAATTGTGCAGTGCCTGGTCCTGAACACAGCACAGAACACAGAGCTGTACACTTTAAGGACCACACAGTAAATAAGAGCATGCTGGAAGTTTACTCCAAGCGGAATTGCCATTGATCCCAGAAAACAATTCCACTTCCTCTCTCGCTGTCGGAGAATGATTCCCAGCAAAAAATAGAGCCCTAGGGATGTAAGGAAAATAAGTGAGGGGGGGGGGGATAGGAGGAGATGGAGGAGGAGAGACAGAAGGGAGGGCCGTGTGGGGAAACACTCTTGTGATGCCCCTGCTTTTCTTCTCGTGCCCCCTGTGCGGACTAACAGTTTGGCGTTGGGACGAGACTGAGCTCAGATACCGCCCACGAGAGACAGATGCTGTTGATGTTCACACGAAGAAGAAGAAGAAAGTATTCCCACCATCACACTGAGCCTTTGGTCGTCAGCTGATCTCCAACATCACCTGCCAATCATCCACTGAGTTAAAGGCTGATTTAGACAGATAAGGAGAAGCTACTTGATCAGAAACAGCCCTCAATACCACTCAAAGCAGGTAAGCCTTAAAGTTATCACATTACAACTTTCCCTTTTTGGTAAACAATGTGAGACCCATACTACCAGAGAACTAAGACTAACATCTTGAAGTGAATGTGAAGTCTGTGTGTGTGTTAGAGCCTCTGACCTCTCTGGCAGGTACAGCAGTACTGTATGCTCTGTCTGTCTCTCTCTACCTCCTCTATGCTTATAACTCTCATAAGAGACACATATATTCAAACAAAGTGCTGCCCTGGAGACTTGAGGACACAGAGCCACCAACAATGTGTTTAAACTCTATGAACGATGTGTTACTTCTGTGCCGTCTCAGGGGCTGATCATTCATCTGCGTTTACAAAATGTGTTTCCAACATGTATTAACCAATTCACCAAAGCGAATTTTTTATCAATTTTCTAGCATTCATTTGAATGCTAGAAAATTGATAAAAAATAACTAAAGGAAAATGCACACTTTTGGGGTCAAAGCCACACACTAATATCATTTAATCTTAAATTCCATAAACCACAGGCTAGATAAGTGTTAAATCAATATCACTGTGAAAGTCTTGCAATTAAAAACAATTCCAGATGAAGTATCATCTGAAATAAATATTCAACTTTTGGTAAGTAAAATTGATAGTATGCAGGTCGAAATGTGTTACATTACTATACCTTATATATTATCACGTTTAATATGACCTATGTATTAACATGTATGCTGTAGCTGGCCGTGGAGGAGCTGATTCGACCTACTTGATAGGCTACGTTTGACTGTGTATAGGTTAGAATTTATCCTTTCTATGCTAACATTAAAAAAAATCATAATCTGATGAACAACAAGTTACCAAATAAATCAAGTTTTGTGAAAAGCACAATTTTCCCCTCTGAAATGCAGGGTAGTATGAATGAAGTAGTAAAACATATAAATATTCCAGTACTTCAGAACGGTACAGTTATTTATTAAATGTACTTGCTTACTTTCCACATATAGACTACTTCATAAAACACTTTGGTGAGATATTTATATTTCGATAAAAGATCAAACAACATTTGCCAAAAAAGTGCAGTCTTTTGAATGAGTATCCACAACAAATCCTTGTCAGGGTAACATCAATTACTTCTGTGTCAGTGTTTTTCTATATGAAACCAAAGACACATTAACACCCACAGATAACAACTCACTGCAATACAAATGTGAATCCTACTGTCAACAGTCATAAAAGATATTTCCAAATATGATTCCAAATGTATTCCAAATGTAAAAATCTAAACAACAGGTTATGATTGTGTAAAGTTGCCTCATGCTAAAACAAGATAAAATGTGACAGGCTCACTTATCAAATTATATGATATCCATTACCAAAGATGAATTTATATCAAAGACTTTAAAGATAGTCTTGAAAATAATAAAGATCATAACAAGCCACTCATTTAATCTGTCAAGCTATCCAGGAATTTCAGTCGGGAGTGTGTTAGTAAGAATTTCTCTCCATGAAACACCTTGCAGCTGTCTTCGGCTCCAGTTTAATGCCATATGCAGCCAAACAATGGATCATAGCAGGCTGTGGGTCTGTGTACAGCAGTGGGCAGATGAAGAGCGAGACAGCCATGTAAGGTAGCAGCGCCGGCTTCTGCTGGTGTGACTGATATATGGCAGCCTAGATCCACGCCGGCCTGTAAGTGGTAGCAACAGGTGACTCCCATGAGTGTGAAATATTCTCCTCCCCATCCCGCGTCAGATCCACTTTGTATGTCACACTATCCCTATCTCACCCCTCCAACACGCCAATGCCGCTAAACTTAAACATGCTCATCCTTGATTGTAATCCCGACACACATGGGAGAGATATGAACGCCAGTCCTGAGACTAAACAGCTGCCGCAATGCACACTGGGATTGACCCCCTTCAAAAGTTCAAGTTTAAAGGCCATGCTTCAGATACAATGGAGGTCTTTTAAGATCTAAATTCATGTGCAATGGGCATATCAACAAAATGAATAATCCTAATTTGTTTCCATTATTCACTCCAATAAATGAAACAGCTTTAATCACCCAGAGAATAAGGGTATCAATCAAGTGAGTTTAACTGCAGCCTGGGTATGTTTGGCATCCTGAATGCAGGTCTGTTAATGTCAGCTGAGACTGATGCAACCTGTGTATCAATGTGTTCGCGCAGAGCACTTGTGTGGTTGGTCTGACATTCTTTTCCTCGTGCTCCGCTACGGCTGTTCCACTGAAACGTTGCTGAGCTGTCACAACACTGCAGAGTGAACTGTAACTGGGAAATATGTTTTGGTTATAGAGCTGCTGGCAGGGGATTTTTGTTTGGGATCATTTAATGTCAGCTTAAATGTAAAGTTGATCTACTTTAGTTTACGTTATTTAACGGAGGAGGCGTGTGGCGCAGTGGATAGAGCCTAGGTGTTGGTTCAAACCCCACTGCAGTCAGCATGTCGTTGTGTCCCTGAGACAATTCACCCCAAATTGCTCCTGTGGGGATTGTCCACAGTATTGAGTATGTAAATCGCTTTGGATAAAAGCGTCTAACAAGTAACAGGGAGTATTTTCTCAGGAGCCAACTAGTAACAAAATACATTCAGTCAGACAAACAGCATGCAAGAAACAATTTGTCAGATAACCAACAATTAAGAAAAACTAGTACAAGAGTATATCAAAACGTCAGATTATGTAGTTTTATTATCTTGAGAAAATTAACAAATCTGGCTTGAGGAAAGTTTGCAGTTTATTCCATGTAATAGGCACCAAATAGCTGAAACTAGAAAATAGATGTGCAAATATGTAATCTCTAGGTTAGTTATTGGATCTTGTATAACATTTCTAAAAGAGAAAATAGGCTGGTTTGGAAGGTTTGATTATCAGAGTTTTAGATATCTATCATGAGATTATTAATTTCGGTCCATCCACCTTTGTGATGCAGAGAGCAATTGATGTGGAATATGTGCAATTCAGATCACTCTTTACACGGCAATGATGCGTTTGACATGTATAATCTTTGATAAAGCATAAAGGGTTTCTACACAGATGAAATACTAATGATTTGGATCCAAATAAAGTATGTTTAAAATGTGGGAGCAATGCAGTAAATCTTCAATGAATGGTTTTACTTTACAAAAAAACAACCAGAGATTTTTTTTACAGCAATCAAATACATTTTTAGGAAAGTATCAAGTATTTATTGAGACTATAAATGTATGCCTAATGTAATTCACTCACTGTAGAAAAATGTCCTGACCAGAAATTGTACAGACATGTATTTACATAAAATATCCTACAGCAGAATCACTGGGGCAGCTTGCCAGATATGGCTCTTAACAATTGTTTTAATATATAACTTGGTCCCTTAGTCTGGGCCTGTGTGCCCAAATGTGTCCCTTTAGAATATGTCAAACACTTTTCAAGAGAACAAATGAGTTTCCTTACTGTGTTTTACTACCTACTGAATAAGATGAAATCATTTGTCAGTTAATGTAGTTTTTAAGTCCGTGCATTGAGATCATTTTGGAGATTGCTGAAAAATGTTCTTCAACCTTTCAGACACATAGAATAACACTATTGTACTTTATACCATAGGCTGTGTAAATACTTTTCCCTCCACTGATGTCAGTCTAAACATTCCATATTAAAGGGGAAGCAGGACAAGAAAATGCATATGCAGCCATCTAATTGCCTGTGTGTTTATGAGGACGGCGCAGCGTATCCTGGTCCTCTGTGAGGATCCGGAGTCTGTCAAACACGGCTTATGTGCTGAGAGGTACAGATCAGTGGAGGAATGTTTAAATCAACCCTGCCCCCTGTTGTTCCCGGCCTGTGGATGAATTGCAGGCTGTGGGCAACCAGCTAGTGTTGGAAGGTCAGTTTTTAAATTCATCGACGAAAGTATACATTTTATTTGGCCATTTTTTTACTTCTGGCATCATGATATATCTCAATTATATTATACAGTATATACTCTATGATTTTGTGAAAGATATAACTCTGAAACCTTCCTCCACATGCCAGTTTACAGCAATAAAAACATAGTTTAATTATCCTATAAAAACCTTCCAAGTGCCTAAGGTGCTACCACAGTCCCGACCAGAGTCACTGCGATCTATGGCAACACTGAGCATCACAGCAGGATTCGTTGTTTTGTTGCAGGGTGGGGGGAAAACACACATAATGTATTCCTGTTGCTCTGCAGTGAGTCACAGCAGCCGCCGTCTCAAGTCAGTGTCATCTGACTGGAAATTATAATCTAGCCACGTTAAAAGTGAGTCTGGTCAACTTTGATACGACACTGAATTTGTGAAATGATTGTACAGTAGTTTTGGAGTCTGCTTACTGGCATGGTTATTCATAATGACTCTCAAACACTTATCTTAGATTGTTGTTCCCTGGGAGTCTAACTCTTACCCACAGGACACACAAACGCACCGAGGGACTCAGATATAACGTCAAAGAGAAATGACTCAATGCACCATTTGCGCACTTCACCATTTTGAATTCCTTAGAACCAGATTGTCCATTACTCTGCCACAGAGATTATAAACAAATATGACAGCCATGATGGTCACCAGGCAGAGCAGAGTGTTCAGCAAAGGGCACAATGCATCCCAGTAAATCCATGGTTATTGCCACAGGACACACAGGAGCACAGGTGTCAGACGGCCCACAGTGGAAGGTGATTTTTACAGCAAAGGAGTTCACTGGGATGTCTCGGCTGTGACCTCGCTGCCCCCCCCTGCCTCCCACTACTTTTAATACCGTATTCCTTTTGTCCTTCGGAAATCATATTGTTTGAGATTGCTTCCTCTGAGAACAGGAAGTGGCCGTTGAGGGGAGATGACAGAGACAGACTGGTTTGAATTAGCATATTTTATCAACTTTTCTCAGTAAAGAAAAGCACCATTTATACCATACTGTGTATACATACTATTGTGTTTACTGTACTACATAACTATACCAATGGTAGAGAGCAAGTACATTTCCTCAAGTAGCTTCAGTGTTATTGGTACTTTACTATATTTGAGAGAAGTGTTTATTATGGCAGTTGAAGTTGTATTGAGCTTTTCATACCCGAATCAGCTTCTTAAATAAGGCAGTTCACTAGCAGGAGGAGGATAAACCCAACTGACTACTGAAAAAAATGTATTCAACTGCTGTTAGTGTCATATTTTAAAAGCTATAGTGCTTTAAGTAAAAGATTAAGTGATGACCATCTACAGCATTAAATAGCTACTTGTTAATGCATTTGACAAAATAATAATAATGACTCCTTTCAAGGCGTTCATTGTGGAGTTTTACTTGAGATGCTTTATTTAAATTAAATGTAGGACTTTTTAATTGCCGCACATTACATTTACATAGTGGCATTGCTTTGGATCTGACAGTGACAGATCAGTAAACTCTCACCTCTCCTCATCTTTCACATTTTACAAATCAGGGAATAGATACCAAATGAAGACATTGTTTTACAAAAGTAGTTAAGTTGTCTTCAATCTAGATTATTTTGATTTTCCAACTGTATTCTGCAGCAAGCTAGTCATGACACACATCAAAATGAGGGTGTATCACAAAGGTCAACTTTGAAAGAGTCCAGGGGGAGATGTATTGTTAGCAGGGTCTGCACAGGTAAGGAAAGCCTGGTGTCAGTGTCTGCTGATAACAACAAGGCTTGTGTGTAATGTGTGCCTCCTGCTATTGTGCTGCCTGGACTCTCACTCCCTTCCTCATTCAGCTCTCTGCCTGTTTGTGATTTACGTTCAAATAAAGATCATCAGCTTTATCCTAGGAGGGCTTTGAGCCAGTTCCCGGAGTGAGACAAGGACCCGCTTCACTAACTCACAATCCAACATGGTTTGCAACTATGACCAGTGTGATGTTAGCGTGTGAAGGAATATGCTGGAAAACAAATGGCAGACCAAACTTTCCTGAGCTACGCACTAGCCCATCAGCCACGGCGTTGATAGAGGTTGAACATTTCCTCTCGCATATGCTGTGATTGAATCCAATACGGTAATAATAAGGAAACTGTCTAAATGGCAGATAAGTATTTAAGAATGTCCCATAGACTTGCTTTGTTACCCTTCTTTCCATGCTTCACAGATAAAGAGCACGACGTTTTGATTTTCCATCTCATTGCCATATATATACTTGATAGAGACACCAAGAGGGGGGGGAGACAGACTGAGGGTTATAGACCATCTCTCTCTCACACATAACTAGTGTCATCGTCAGCCACAGTGGACAGTGGACTATGCAATGGGAATAACTTATTATGGAAACAACTGCTCATGGATAACAATGGGCGGTAGATGAGAGGTGGTAAGAGATAATATTAACTCCCTGTTTGGTGTTTTTTATACTGTGATTGTCGCGATTATACTGTATATCCTACCTGGCACACCATTAAAATAACAGTTTATCTTTTTAACACGCAGCGTTTGAGGAATGTATACGTTTTTTAAAACCTTGCCAAGTAGGGCACTAAATTGAGACGTGATAAGTGTCAAAGTTTATCTTCAGCCGTTTTACAGTGTTATAACTCATTTAACTTTGAAGTCTAATTGCATTATAAAAGCTGGCAGTAGGCGACAGTACATCGTGCATTTAGATGTCAGAGGTCACCCCTCAATGGAGTTAGATGGCTTTTCTTAACCCCTCAATGATGGGGTCACTTATTGCACACATAAAGCTGTCTTGTGAACTTCCTTATAGGGTCATTCTTAGCTGAGGCTCGCCAGCCTGTCACTGCCATGTTTGGGTCTAACCTAAACTCTAACTAATGCTGCAGGTGAAAGCACACAGTGTATAGATGGAGAGATCAGATTGACGCTCTCAGATGGATTGCATCATGTCTGAGGTTTTCATTACCGGAAAGGAAAGGACATCATGGCTGCAGTTCTGTTGTCGTGAGTGAACTCTGCTGGTCAGGGACCACAGGCAAAATAGAAACCATGCAGCTCAGGCCCGTCACTCACAGCATTGAAAGGACAAAGTCTCCTAGCTTTGACTTGCCCCGCGGTGGCTTGTTATCCTCTCAATCTGACTATCATGCATAATTTGGAGTTAGGGAATGTAACCACATATTGTATAATATTAAGATATTCTTTTAAAACATCCTCATTATTTACTTTTGCATGACTCCTGAACTTCCTCTGGCTCCCTCATGGGAAAATGGGTGTTCTCATGCCACTGTGTCCAGTCCTCTAGCAATTCACAGACGGAGGAGCTATTTTTATGCACATTATGCTACCCATACTCACAAGCTCACAAGCAAACACACACACACACACACAGCTCATTTCACATATAGAGTATACAGAGAAGCTGTCTGACTGATTGTATTTGTTTCTCTTTTCTCATTTCCCCCCCCTCTCTCTTATGTCCATTCTCCACCTCAGGAACTTCACTTCTTCACCTCTATTGCACTATTCTTTAGCTCTTCCTCTCCTCCACCTCCAGTCTTTGTGTCTCAGGTGTGTGCTAAGGCCTGTGAGCAGTGATGGGGGATTGGAGTCTCCTGGGGAATTTCCTAGAGGAGGTCCAGGAACACTCCACCTCAGTCGGGAAGGTCTGGCTCACCGTCCTCTTCATCTTCCGCATCCTGGTCCTTGGCACGGCGGCCGAGTCCTCCTGGGGCGACGAGCAGAGCGACTTCCTGTGTGACACCCAGCAGCCCGGTTGCACCAACGTGTGTTATGACAGCGCCTTTCCCATTGCCCACATACGCTACTGGGTGCTGCAGATTGTTTTCGTCTCCACGCCATCCCTCATCTACATGGGCCATGCCATGCACATTGTCCGCAGAGAGGAGAAGCTGCGGAGGAAGGAACAGGAGGAGAGAGGGGATAGTGAAGAAGACCTGGAGGAGGAGAAGGAGTACCTGCAGCGGAAAGAGACCGGAAAAATGTCTTCTGAGGGGACTGTCCCTTTCCGCCTGAAAGGAGCGCTGCTGCAGACTTACATCCTGAGCATCTTGATCCGCACAGTGATGGAGGTGACATTTATCGTGGTGCAGTACAGGATATACGGGGTGTTCCTCAGGGCCCTGTACCTGTGCGAGACCTGGCCCTGCCCCAACCCCGTCAACTGCTACATGTCCCGTCCCACAGAAAAGAACGTCTTTATCATCTTCATGCTAGTGGTGGCCGGTGTGTCTCTGCTGCTGTCTGTGTTGGAGCTCTACCACCTTGCTTGGAAAAGCAGCAGGAGGTGTTTACGCAACAAGAGGCTGAAGAAGAGCAAACACAGAGCTGTGACGGTGTCTGCGTCTCTGGAGCCCAACAGCCCACCTCTGCCCTCGGCCTCCTGCACCCCACCCCCTGACTTCAGCCAGTGTCTGGCAGCCAATGGCTCCATGAACCCCTTGACCTCTATGGCCTCTCATCCCTTCAACAACAGGATGGCGCTGCAGCAGAACTCAGTCAACTTGGCCACAGAGCGGCATCACAGCTGCGACAACATGGAGGACGAGGGAGACTTTCTGAGGATGAGATACGACCACGTGCCCACAGAGCTGCCAAACAGCTGCGCACCATCACCTCTGCTGAACTCCGGCTGCATGAAGGACAAACGCCGCCTGAGCAAGACCAGCGGGAGCAGCAGCCGGGCTCGACAGGACGATCTGTCCGTTTAGCCGGGGAGAGGAGGGGGATTTGACTTTCAGAACCAAAGAGAAGGGACTAGAAGATCAGTTTAGGAGGATACAAGTGTCATTGCTGAGTGAAGGGGTCAGAATGTGAACACAAGCTAATTATGCAAACTGGCATTGAAGCCTGCAACTTGACTACAGAGGATGGACTAAATGTTCACTTTAGACCCTGAGATATATGTGTGTGGACTATGTGACCTTTACATGTGTAAGCTCTGAGAGCAGATAGTATTTGTGAACCAATCTTTCCCAGTGTTAGAACAACTGAAAACCAAACTGCAAAATAATTTTTAAAAGAGAACAGGGTTAACAGGTGTGATACCAGTCTATTGCACATTTTAGTTAAAATCCAAAAACATAAGGAGAGGAAAATACGTAAGTGTGAATGACAATGATGCCTGGACGTGAGATGACGTAGGGAAACCATTTAATTGGAATGAGAAATATGATACAAATCTTAACTATTTAATTAATTACAACATTGTTTTTCTCTCCAACTGCAAAAAATTGAGACGCATAGAGAAAACAGGGAGTTAATATGCAATAAACTGTGAAGCTTGCTAAATTGGATGGTTTTCATCCAGGGCATATGCAGTGCCTTAAGAAGTTTGAAAACATTTTTATTTTTGTCATACACCAAGTTTTTATGTATATTTTCTTTTTCCAAAAGCCAAATCAGATTAAGCCATATTTTGACTTGCTAACCTGATTGCACTACACCCGGGTCAGGTAAAGTCAACTGTAAACTAAGAATAATCACCAAACATTATAAATGACATTTTAATTCAAACTGTGTTCATTGTGTGCGTTGTGACAGGATCATCTGTGTGCAGAATGTAGCCTGATTTCTTTGGAGAGAGATCCAGGGGAGAAAGAGCTCTTGTCTGAATGTTGTTATGAGGAGATCTGGCCACTGGGTGGAAACATTGCTCGTTTTTCTGTTTCTGTCCTGGAGCCATTGTGTAAATAGTGAATTTGTTCCGATGCAAAATGTATGTTTTAGTTGATATCTTCAAATGTATTCGATTACATTTGCTGTGTCTCTTTTTTATTTTATGTATCATCATTGTTTAGGTTGTTTGTCACAGCAATTTGTAAATGAACATCCACTGCAACCGGGGGTTTAACACATCTCCTACAACAACCAACCACAGACATTGTTTTGGTTTTTCCACAGAGATTTTTATGCAATAAACGTCATCATTACCCGTTATAAATCAATAAACCATCAACTGTACAATCTACGCTTGTGTCCCCGGATGTGGTAATTAAAGTTTTTCTTAGATCTCTCTGCAACGTCAACATAAATAAATCTGTTTTGCAAAATCAGAGAAAAGTGTACTTGATAAGGTGCAAGACCAACTTGCACCATTTTAAAACCTTCATAAATATAGAAATGATTAAACTAAATAACAAGTGGAAAGGAAGAAGATGATGAAGCAGTCATTTTTTGATTAGCCACTTGCATGTTCTAGTGAGTCTGTACTCAACAAAAAACATCTACAAGACACAGACTGGAGAGGATGTGCAGTATTGACACAAACAAAGACTGTCTCGTTATCTCTGCCAGGAAACTGAGCACTAATTTCCAATTTGGAAAGTCAATCAAAATGTCTCTAAGTTTAGGCAGAAAAATCTATTTTCACGTATATTAAGTTTTTGATATTGATACAGTGACAAATCAAATCAGGTTTTATTTATATAACACATTTAAAAGCGACAATTAAGTGATGAACACATTAATGCATCCTTAATTTTAATAAAATATTATCAATAAATGTGATTCTAAAATGGGGAATTCTGCATTATGAGCTATTTTTTTTAAATAAGATGAGATAAGATAACATTTATTGATCGCCATAGGGAATTTCAGGTGTCTTACAGTAACAGAAATAAGCGTAAACATGGAATAGGACAGATATGAATTCACATAAGCAGAACAATTATAATAATAATAATAATAATAATAATAATAACAATAACAATAACAATAACAATAATAATAGATATAGCAATAGAAACAAATAAATATAATAATACAAATATAAAATGACTATGTATTTAAAAAGTGACAGTATAAGTGTGTTTTACATATACAGGTATGTATAGTTATGGGATTGTTAAATATTGTAGAGGAAACTTCTGTGTAGCTATGCAGTGGGAGTCACCGACTCAGGAAGGAGACACGGGAAGAGCAGTAGCTTTGATGTCAAACACATGATGGTTTATTTGGAGTTAACGGCCGGAGGATTCACATCACAAGTCCAAGAGTCAGAGGTTCTGACTTCACGGTAGAGTTGCCACGTCAATTCTGAAGAACTCTACCCCAGACCCATGTATTTAGCTAGTTCAGAGAGCATCATCAACATGCTGCATAACAAGATAGAATGATAACACCTCTATCAGCTGACGCCAACAGGCAGGAACAGGGAGACAAAACACTGAGAGCACAGCAGCCAAGGTTACAGGTGCCTGTGCTCAGTCAGGACAGTTTGAACTGATACACTGGGTCAAAGTTATGGGCCTTGGAAAATATTCCACAACAAATATATGTCAATGTTGGTACCTTAAATATATGTTATGCTAATACTTTTAAAATATCTTGAATGCAGCACTTGTGAAGTGCAGACACACAGAGGGCCTGTAGGGGGCATTAGCCCGCTTTGATGCATTCCTCCACTAAAGGGTCAGAGTGAGAGGTGTATGTCGGGAAATGTAGTTCTATCTTCGCAGCTCTTACCTTTACTTTCATTGTACAATGGCATTGGCTCCCCTACAGTTCCCGACATGTCCTTTGGTTTGAAACTTGGGGAAGACCTGCCGAATGACAAGGGAATATATAATTGACTGAACACTGTTTCTATCGAGATAAAGCAGCAGAACCTCGCCTCAGAAAGTAAGTAGATAGTTAGCTTAAAGAAAGTAGCTTCGTTGCAACGGTTATGAGCTAGCTAGGATGACAGTTGAGATGGAGGTCACACTTCCTGTTATCACGATATGTAACTAGCTCGTGTTGAAACGTTAGCCGGTTTTTTCTTACAGTGCTTCATCACGAAGCCACACGTTCATCCATTTGTGTTGGCTAGCTCAGGATACCACTACTGAGCTTACAGGATTTAGTATTGTAATGACATTAACTGGATAATTTCAACGTAATAAATAATGTGTGTAGTGGTGCTACAAGCAAGTTACTACAGCCACAACGATTACTCGTCTAAACATAATCGTTTCAGTCGAAATACCCCTGTGGTTCCAGCCTCTCAGATTTGAAGGTTGGTTGCTTTTATCTGCTTTTTTTAAATTAAATGTATTACTACATTTCTGAAATTGTGTGGAGAATGTGCTTACAATATAGGGGTCATTCTACAGAAAAGGTGGAATCTGGGTGATACAAATCTACTGAAATATATTCCTTCTAAACACATCTAAAACCTGTTAAATAGCATTAACTAACTCTTAACTTGATGAATCCACAACAAGTAGAGCTTCAAATATTTTTATTTTTTTTATACTTTATACATAAGATAAGATATAAGATTCTTAGGGAAAAGAAAGTTTTGGGCTCTCTGCTGGAACTGCTACCCCCGCGACCCGACCACGGATAAGCGGGAGAAGATGGATGGATGGATGGATGGATGGATGGATGGATACAAAGCTTATTTGTATAGGAATGTCACTGGTGTTACGTGTTACCAGGAAGAAGAGTAACACCAGTGACAATTTGGAGAAAACACTAACATTTTAACAAAATGGCTGCAATGTGTCAGACCAAATATGGCTTCAGTCAATATCAAAATCGTTTAACTCTTCAATACAATACAATTTCCCATTCAAATGTTCACCCCTAGGGCTATGCAATGAGTAACACTAATGACAGACTTGAAAGACGCATGTAACATTTGAAGATAAAATGACACCTTTAACAAACAAAGTAAGAAGTATCTGACTTGCCTTATGTCTTTGTGCACTGCCTCAAATGATCTCTTGTTACAGGAGGCACTTCAGAGACAGTACATTATTTCAAAAATAAAAGCGTTTTGTGTAGCAGTAACATCAATGACGTAATTTTGGATGACTGACATTTATTTGATATTATTCATAATCATTTATTTTTTTACCATTTCAGTGTTATATTTAATGCTTGTAATGTTATGTAAATATAAATTAGATTTATTGAAATTGTATTCAATTAAAACTAGGCTCCACTTCCATGTATGATCAAAGTGACAAGGCAGTTCCTTGAACTTGACATTTTAAATAAATTGCAATTTACGTATAAAACCATTTTTTATTTATTTTGTATTTAGTACCATTGCAAAGACAATCTCTATTTATTCAACATATATAATGAATGTGAGTATTAGGTCAACGTCATGTATTTTGGTGTCTGCAAAGGTAAGTGACAGCACTTCCACCTTTTCTGTAGAATGACCCATAGACCAATATGCAATGATTAACAGAAGAAGTTGCTTTATGAGCTGGGTGGATATGACAGTACACGATGTGCATAGAATTGTATTTGAAGGTGATAACATTGTTGAAAATGCATGTGTGGTTAATTCAGACATTGAACAAAGTGTCTGTTTTGTTCACAGCGCAGCCATGAGGAATCTTTGGACCAAAGCAGGTGTTTTTGGTTCGGTATCGATGGCGTTTGGTTCCATGCTGTGGTCACAGAAAAATCCTGACTCGGACCAGGCCAGTTCCCCCTCTGGTGAAACGGATCCCAGTTCTTCATACGAACTAAAGCTGGTCCAAGTCCTGTTCCGACATGGTGCTCGAACGCCGCTCAAGTCAATTCCTGATGTGATGGAGGTACATCTCTTTCTTATTTAGCACTCGTAGCTACAAAAAAAGATATAATGTCACATAAAATCTTAATATATTATACTAATTATTTCTCTGGACACAATTGTCTTGCCTAAGGCCCAATGGGTGCCAACGCTGTTGGAGCCTCCAGCACACACCCAGATCAACTATGAGGTGACGGATCTTAACGGTGGCCCCAGGCCCCCGGCTCCTGTAGAAGACAGCTATCGGAAAAACATCCTGAGCGTGAGTAATCTGAATTAGAATACCTTTCTTAGTCCCACAGAGCGGAAATGTACGTTTTTACAGTAGAAAAAGAGTCACTCACAGACAGCTTAATGTTACATATGTTACATGCATTAAAAAGTGTTCAAGTAAAAAAAAAGAAAAAAAGTTATGATATAATAAAAAAAACAAGTTACACAACTTACAAAATACACATCCTGTAAGTGCTCCCTGTGGAGGAATGCTTAGGAACAAGTTCAGGTGCAGCAACTTGGCTTGTTAGCTATGTGAGGATAATAGCCCAACACATTTCCACAGCAGACATTTAGACCTGTAATAGCTAGAAAAGTGTCATTTAGTTTAGGTGTGCCTGTTCCAAGGCTTTAACCGTGTTCAAATAACTTTTTCTTAAACACTTACTGAGACAAAGAGCTACGTCTGAGCTTTGTCTGCAACACAATTTAGTGTCTGCTTTGGTGAATGCCTATTGTTTTTATGTGTCTCTGTATAATCAGGTTCTGACAAGTGATTGTGTATTAAATACTTTTTATACTATGTGTATTTCAATGTTCTTCCCCTAGATGTGAAGAAACTTGTGGATTCAGTATTCTTTCTCCATCTAGTGGCCACTAGGATTCATTACAAAGCTGCACAGATGACATTAAAGCGAGTTAATTCATTAAACTCCTCTCTGTCACGCTGTTGAGCCTCCCAGTGAGATGTGTGTGCCAGCCACTGTGTCCATATACATGATCGTTTCCTGTGCTGAGTTAGCTCCTTTGCTAAAGAGGTTTACTGCACTGGATTTAGCTTAGAAAACTAAATCCCACAATATGGACTCGGGCCATCCTTCTACCACATTCCTGCATGCGATCGCAGGTGTGTGTTTGTTAGGCCACATCTGTGAGTTAAACCTGGTCGTGTTTGTCGCTCTTGGCAGGGTGGCTCGTTCTCCGGTCAGCTGACCACCGTGGGCATGCAGCAGCTGTACGAGCTGGGCAAGAGGCTGAGGACGAGATACGTAGAGAGCTCCTTCCTCAGCTCCACCTTTAACCCAGCTGAGGTCTAGTAAGTGTTCAAATCATGAAGGATAGCAAGGATATAAACACTTTTCTGTACACTATGGAGTGCAGTTTAAAAGGATATCCGTCTAAATGGCTGCTGTCCATGACCAGTTTTTTACATTTTTAGTGTACGCTCTACTAATATT